GGGGGAGAATTCTGCACTGGCAAAACCTTAGCGCTTAGCGTCACAGACTTTATTCTCTAGTTGGAGGAATCACAAAACAAAGTTTAAGAATAACGACAATGACCAGGGTGTTGGATGCCTTGAAAAACGCGAAATTAGGACCTAAACAGCGAAGAAGCGAATGGCATTTCGGGTAAGGTGATTTGTTCTGGACACTTCCTGATGCTGTCCACGACTGGGCCTCCATCGAGGGCCACAAGATAGTCTGCACCACGTCAGACTCCAGCTCAGTTCACCGCTCACCCTCACCTAGGTGAGAACGCGGGCCCAGCAGGTGCAATGCGCAAGCGCTCTCCAGCATGGCGGCCCCGGAGGATTTCCAGCCTTTCGGAAGATAGTGCGCAGGCTCCGCAGTTCCCGATATACCATCGAGAACTTCCCAATGGGAACGTCCTTTGGAGGTTGTTGTCCCGCCCACTATGCCCTCCTTACTTCCTCTTCCGCCTGCAGTGCAGATCCAAGATGGTGGCAGCCGCGGTACGCGCGCCCGGGCTGTCGCGGTTGCTGGGCCGGGCCCGCCCACAGGTGGGGCGGCCCATGTCGAGCGGCGCCCACGGAGAGGAGGGCTCAGGTGCGGGGCTCTGGTGGGGGGTCGGGCTCTGCTCCCTCGGGGTCCGAGGGGTCGGCCCGTGACCTTGGGGGAGGACGGGGCCGGGCCGCTATTGGAGGCTGACCCGTTTGGCACCCCTGCAGCTCGCCTGTGGAGGGGCCTCACCTTCATCGTGGCGCTGCCCGGGGTGGCGGTGAGCATGCTCAATGTTTTCCTTAAGTCGCGACACGGAGAGCACGAGAGACCCGAGTTCATCGCCTACCCGCATCTCCGCATCAGGACCAAGGTATGATGCCTCGCTGTCCCTTCAAGCATCAGTGTTCGACGACCGTGTCCTAGTTCTCGGTGCTTTAAGATCTTGGCCGCAGGGAGTGTCGTCTAATCTTTGCAAACGGAACTTAGAGGAAACAGTCTGTTGGGGTCACGTCTCAGTTTTCTTCGAGGTCACACAATACATGCCCCTCAGTTTTGTTTTGAAAACAGCCGTCTCTGAGAAAGCCTTTTATAGTGGAAAGCTCTGAAGGTGATTCGAGATCCGGGCGTTCTGACATACTGGCTGGTACTAGCTGCTTACCTGCGCCTGTTCCCCGCCAGTGCTTGCCTTTTCAGCTGTTTCACTCTTTGGCTGTTCACGTAGACAATTATTTGTTCTCCATCACTTGCTGTATTTTTTAACAAGTACCTTCTTGTTCTTTAAAAAACTGTATCACCTAGTTCATGTAGGTCAGACCTCACAGAAACTTAATCTAGACTTGAGTTTTGGAATCCTCACTCCCACCCTTGAACGCCGAACAAGGTTTTTCAGCCCCAGCACTTAATCTTTTGGGTTGGATAAGTGATAAGGTTATCCAGGTCGTTACAAGGTGTTTAACAGCATTTTTGGCCTGTCCACTAGATGGCAGTACTCTCCTCTTCCTGCTAAGGCTCCGCCTCTTGAGAGGTAAAAATCTCCCAGGGTGCCAGGGTCCTAGTTCAGACCTGCAGTCCTTACACTTCCAAGACGAAGCCAAGAGGATCAGTAGCTCATTCTTGATAACATAGTGAAGTTGAGGTTCACCTGGGCTAAATGACCCCTTCCCTCAGAAAACAAAATGGTTGGGAGCCACTGACCTAGAGCAATGCTTTTCAGAGGTAGTGGGAGGGGCTGGAGAGACAGCTCAGCAGTTAAGAGGGTGTACTGCTCTTGTAGAGGAGCTAAGTTTGGTTCTTAGCTCACAGCTGCCCATAACTCCAACTCCAGGGACATCTGACACTTCTGACATCTGCAGACACTTGCTCTCATATGCACAGACCCAAGCATACATATTAAAAGAGGTAGTGGGCAGAGTACAGACCTGTAATCCCAGTACTCAGGAGGCAATTGCAGGAGGATCACTGCAAGTTTGTGGCCCCCTGAACTATGTAATGAGTTCCAGACTAGCCAGGGCCGCATAAGGGAACCTGTCTCAAAAAACAAAAAGGGACTGGCAAGGTGGCTCAGCAGGTAAAGGTGCTTATTGCCAAGTCTGATGACCCGATTTCGATCTCTAGGAGCCACTTGTTTGGAGAACAGACTTTGGCAAATTGTCCTCTGACTTCAAGCACATACACACACAAAATTAATAAACCTGTACAATGATAATAAAAGGCAGTGGGCAAAGGCTTGAGTGCAGGTTGCAGTTTCCTAGCCCAGAAATCTGCATTTCGGCATCTCCACCCCTGGAGTATCACCATTCTGATACAGGACTGTTGGGTTGGGTTTGGTTTGGTTTGAACACAGGATCTCCCTGTGGCCCCAGCTGGCCTGGAACTCGCTGTGTAGACCAGGATGATCTTGATTTCACAGAGATCCACCTGCTTCTACCTCCATAGTGCTGGGATCAAAGGCCTGTACCATTATAGCACAGTACTAGATATATTGTTTATATGGGGGCAGCTATGAATAACTACCATTTTAAAATTTTAAAGATTTAATTATGTATGTGTGTCTTTGTGTGTGTAGGTGCCCAAGGCCACAAGCAGGTGTTAGATTCCCTGGAGCTGGAGTTGCAGGCAGTTGTGAGCTGCCCTCTGTGGGTGCTGGGAATCTAACTTGGGTCCTCTGCAAGAGCAGCACATGCTCTTCATTGCTGAGCTATCTCAGTATTTACCATGAGTTTGCTTTTCTTACCATCGATGTCAGGGGCCTCCCTACTATTAGTTATGAGTATCCCTAAGTTATGGGAAAGTTGGAATTATGCCAGTAAAGGATTAGTTTCCATTTTGATTTCATATATTATTTGTTACCCTGTTTCAAGCAGTTCATGGTAGAGTTCTTTCTGAGATATTTACTGGAATTGTCTGACATCTTCACTCCACAGCCCTTTCCTTGGGGAGATGGTAATCATACCCTCTTCCATAACCCTCATGTGAATCCGCTTCCAACTGGCTATGAAGATGAGTAAAAAGAACCTGGACCTTCACCCAGGCAACAGGGGCCACAACACTGGTTTGGACCATTACTCTGCACGTGGACCAGAAAAGTGTATGGGACGTTAAGCTCATCTTCCCTTGTATCAAATGGTGACCATTATACTGAGCTTTCATTCCATCCCTTTACTTGTGGGAGGAGATGGCTTAAATAAATAACTTAAACTTAGATTGCTCATGAGCTGAATGTTGCATTTGTCTACCCTAGTGTTATTACTGTTTATACAGTGGAGGTCTATAACCACTGTTTTGCAGTGTTTCAGGTCTAGTTTAGCTCACTGAATAGTATTTATAACTGGCTCCTTGTTGGTTTTTTATGTCTGGAATAGGTAAAGCCAAGTGACCAAGAGCACAGAGTAAGATGGGCCCAGGCAGACATTGAATGGCCAGTCGGATGGCTGCTGTTTACTAGTTATGTCTGTGAGAAGTTCAACTTGGGCTAAAATGGCAAGTTCCATATTATCCAGGTTATTTCAAAATAGAAGTACCTGTGCATCTTAAGCACTCCCATGGGGCCGGAGAGATGGCTCAGTGGTTAAGAGCACTGGCTGCTTTTATAGAGGACCTGGGTTCTACTCCCAGCACCCACATGGTAGCTAACAACCACCTATAATTCCAGTTTCAGGGGATCCAAAGCCTGCTTCTTTCCTCTACAGGCACTGTATGAAATGGGTGCATTTACACAGATGCAGGCAATATCATTCATATACATAAAATAAAAATATTTTTTAAAAAGCATTCCCTCTGGCCCTCAGCTTTCTCCTGTTCCAGTCCACCAAAGGAGTAAGTTCTTCCTTTCACTTAAGCTGCATCTCAGCCAGGCACAGTGGCTTCTGCAGATAATCTCAGCAAAATAGAGGCTGAGGTAGGAGGGTCAACAGGAATTCAAAGACAACCTGGACTACATAGTGAGGCCTTGTCTCAAAAAAACAAACAAAAATCACTCTGGCAGTCTATTGCTTATCAAAATTGAAAACCTTTAAAATAGCTGAAGTCATTGGAGTTGTTTTTGGAGAGGATGAACAATCAGGATTCTTAGCAATTTAAAATATTCCTATTGTGAGAATGTGGGTGTGAAGGAAGCTACTAGTAGACGGCCTTTTTTGGCAACAGTAATAAAGAAGTACACTTCAGGGGTTTCTTACACTTTGAGCTAGGGTCCTGAAAATTACCTAGGCAGGTCTTGAACTCCTAGGCTTTCTAGCCCATTCATCATGAGGAGCTGAGTCCTCAGGCATGCACTACCATACCATCACTTCAAGGATTTTTTGGTGTTTTTTATTTGATTAGGTTATTTTTGTTTTCATTGTATGCGTATGCATGTATGTAAATGCACCCATGTTGTGAAGTGCCTTCAGAGGTCAGAAGAGAGCATCAGATCCTATAGGGAGCGCACGTGCTGGGCACTCGGGGTCCCTGCGCGCACTCCTGGAATGGCACGGCGGGTCCACAGGCTTCTCCGCCATGCGCCTGGAGGAAGGCGGGTCTGGCCCCGCGGGCTTCTTCGTGTCTCTATGGGCCTCTGCTGCTGGAGCGTTGTCCAGCCGAATCCCGCCCTTAATTCACCCGTGTACTTTCCTCAGGAAGCGAGGTCCACTGGCCATTGAACCACGCGGGAAGAGTATGAGAACGGCGAAAGCTAGGAATGTCCGCAAGTCGGTAATGGAGGAATGCTGCCCCCCGGGGAGACTAGATTGCAGGCAGGAGACACAGACTCAGTCTACAGCTCTTTATTCCAAGTCTCAGTGACCCAGTCCCTGTTCTAGTTCCAGCTCCGCTTCTAGCCCCCAATATTGAGAGAAGACTAGGATATTTATACCATGGGGGTAGTGGTAAAAGCTTTGGCTGTTAGATACTTTGTGAGGCATTCTATTTGCATATGGAAGTGGGTTTCTGCCATGCCGCCAGACTGCTGACTACCTGAAAAATCACACTGGAAAGCGTGGCATTCCTGGAGCCAGAGGCCATGTTTATGCTAGAGCATTTGTGGCAGGCACTTCAAAAGGAGTCAGGAAGGATGCCAGGTACTCTGCTGAAAGGAGGCTCAGCACATGAATCCGAGCTGCATGAGCTGTCCGGATGTGAAGGGACTTCTACTTCACAGCAGGGGCCCCCAACAAGATCCCCTGGAACTGGAATTTACAGACAGTTGTTAGCCATCAAGTGGGTGCTGGAACCAAACCTATATCTTCTGGAAGAGCAGTTTGTGCTCTTAATTACTGAGCCATCATGTCTCCTGCCCCAGAATTCTTGGTGGGTTGTTTTGTTTTGTCTTTTTGAGACAGGGTCTCCCTATAGCCCCAGCTGGCCTAGAACTCACTATGTAGACCAGGCTGGCTTTGAACTCACAGAGATCCACCTGCCTCTGCCTCCAGAGTGCTGGGATTAAAGGCGTGTGCTACCACGCCCAGCATCTTTGTATTTTCTAGGCAGGGTCTTATTATGTAGCCCTGGCTTGCCTCAAACTCAGATCTGTTTGCCTCCTGAGTGCCACCACACCTGGTTAAAATGTCTTTCACTTCAGCTGAAAAAGGGTTTTTTGTTGTTGTTGTTGTTTTTTGTCTTTTTGAGATAGGGTCTCTCTGTAGCCCCAGCTGACCTGGAACTATGTAGACCAGACTGGCCTTGAACTCACAGAGATCCGCCTGCCTCTGCCTCCCTGAGTGCTGGGATTAAAGGGGTGTGCCACCACACCCAGCAAAAGGGGTTTATTAAAGATACTTTCTGTAAAGACAGTGAGATGGTGGAGTGGTAAAGGCTCCTGACAGCCTGATTCCACCAACAGGATCAACATGGTGGAACATTCTGGAAGGAGAGAACTGGCTCCCAAAAGTTGTCTTCTGTCCTCTACCTTCATACCATGGCATGTGCACAGAAAAAGTGTGTTTTCTTTTTTGGAATGGGGGGGGGGGGCTTTCTGTATTTTTCTCAAAACAAAGGTTCAGTGATTTTCTAGAGCAGCGTGTGCAGACCTGAGTTACAATGAAAGAAAGTGGTTAGACAGAGTCTAGTGTCCTGGGCCTGTAATCCCAGCAACTTGGGAGACTGAGGCAGGAATTTCACAAGTTCACAGCCTACATGGGCTACAGAACATGTAGTTGGCAGTTATGGAACTGGTTTATGCTCAGCTGGATGGAACAATTTCAAGAAAAGTTCAAGAAAGTACAAGGTATCTCATAGTAAATATAGACTGGATGGAAGCTTTGTGTGACATGCTGGTGCCCTGGGTGTGATCTCCAGCATAAAAAAGAAGCAAAATCTCAAAATGGCGCACATGGAAACTGCAGGAAAACAATGAGGAATAAGACTGCAGCCTAACAGATGGTGCACACTTAAATCCCAGCACTCAAACTCTGGATGTGGATGATCAGTTCAAGGCCAACCTCACCTATATAATCATCTCAAAATTTTTTTAAAAACGGGGAAGGGGAGGCTGAAGAGATGGTTCAGCAATTAGAGTCTCGTACTGCTCTTGCAGGGAACCTGAGTTCGGGTCCCAGCACCCACCCATGTCTTGGGCAGCTTACAACTGCCTGTAGCTCCAGCTCCAGAGGGATTTGATGCGTCTGTCCTCCTTAGGCACTTGCATTCATGTGCACAGAAACACACAATTAAGAATAAAACTTTAAAAAGAATAAACAGGTCATGGTGGTACATACTTAAAACCTAAGCCCTGGAGGGAGGAGGAAACAGGCAGGACTGCCACAAGTTCAAGGCTAGCTTCAGTTACAAGTTACATAGTAACTTCTAGACTAGCCATGGCTATAGTATGAGACTTTAAAAAAAAAAGAAAATGGTAAGAGCCAGGCATAGTGACACATGCCTTTAATCCCAGCACTCAGGAGGCAGAGGCAGGCGAATCTCTGAGCTCAAGGCCAGCCTGGTCTACATAGTTCCAGGCCAGCTGGGGCTACAAGGAAGTTTCCTATGCCAGTGTGGTAATGTACACCTGTAATCCCAATATTTGGGAGGTAGATGCAAGAGGGTCAGGCATTCAAGGCCATCTTCAGCTACACAGTAAGTTTGAGACCCGCCTGGGCTCCTTGAGACCTTGCCTTAAAGTTCTGGGGATTTAGCTCACTTGAACAATACTTACCAGCATGCATGAAATTTTGGGTTTAACCTTAGCACTGCATAAATCAGGTGTGGTCATGCACAAATATAAACCTAGAATGTGGAAAGTGGAGACAGGAGAATCAGGAGTTGAAGGTCATCCTCAGGCTACATACCAAGTTCAAGACCAGTCTGGACTACATGAAACCAAATAAGGGACTGTGGAGAGATGGCTCCATAGTTAAGGGCATTTACTGCACTTCCAAAGGACGAAAGTTTGCCTTAAGTCTAGATAACATGGAACACACTTGACATCCCAGCACTTGGGAGAAAAGCAGGATTTGAGTTCCAGAACAGCCTAGGCTATATAACAAGATCCTGTCTCAAAACCAAAATTAAGCATGGTGGCACAGTTCTAGCAGAGGCAGGCGGATCCCTATGAGATCAAGGCCAGTGTGGCCTACATAGCAACATAGCAAGTTCAAGACCAGCTGGTCTACATGGAGACCCTGTCACAAGAAAGACCCCCCCCCAAAAAAAAAAAAAATTTACTGGGCAAAAGAGTATTTGTCTAACATGCTCTGGGGTTGATTTCCCCAGCACAACCTAAACTGGGCATGGTGGCACACACCTGTAATCCCAGCACTTGGGAGGTAGAGGCAGGATGATCAGAAGCAGCTTGTGGTCAGCCTGGGGTTATCTTTGCCATCAACCAGCCTGCAGAAGTCTCTACAGAGCTGGGGTTATCTTTGCCATCTACCAGCCTCCAGAGTCTCTACAGAGCTGCTGTGCTAATCTCCGTTTAGGATAGACTTAACTTTAGTTTGCTGCCTCCTAGCTTCCCTTAGAAAGGTCACAAAAAAAATTTTGTCTTTTTGAAACAGGGTCTCCCTGTAGCCCCAGCTGTCCTGGAACTGTATAGACCAGGCTGGCCTTGAACTCAGAGAGATCTGCCTGTCTGTGCCTCCAGAGTGCTGGGATTAAAGGCGTGTGCCACCATGCCTGGTGACAAAATTTTTTTAAAGATTTTATTTTTATGTTATACTTGTATTGCCTGCATGTATGTAAATGTGCATTCATGTTGTGCAATGCCCACAGAAGACAGAAGGCGGCATCAGAGCCCCTAGAACTGGAATTTACAGTTGTTAGCTGCCATGTGGGTGCTGGGATTTGAACCTGAGTCTTCTGCAAGAACAGCTTGTGTTCTTGACCACTGAGCCATCTCTCCAGCACCACAATCTTTTATACAATGATCCTTAATCATTTAGAAATATGAACGTATTTTTTTCTTTAAAAAATAATTTTGAGACACAGCTCAGTGGTTAAGAGTACTGATTGTTCTTGCAGAGGACATGGGTTTGGTTTCCAGCACCCACATGGTGGCCCACAATGGTTTGTAACTCCGGTTGCAGGAGATCCACTACCCTCCTCTCACCTCTGCAGGCCCTGCATGTACATGGTGCACTTATATGCAGGCAAAATACTCATACATAAAAAATAAATTTTTAATGTGAGTGTAAAATGTTTTGAAATGGCATTAGGGTCGTTCAAATTGAGACGTCACGGAAAAGAAGATACAGAATTTAGGACTTCTGTAATCAACTTTCATTCCATCTTTAGCAACACATTAAACCGTAATCCTCAAAATAGGTAGGTGTGGGGTTACATGACATTCTAAAATAAGCACTCACCTGATCAGGGCATTGTTTTTGAACAATATGCATTTATTTTAAGGTGCTTATATAAGCTGGGCATAGTGGTGCACACCTATAATCCCAATACTGAAGACAGGTGAGTGGCTCACTGCAAATTCCAGTTCAGCCTGAAAATCAAATTCTAATTGCTATATCTAGGCTTAGACAAATCTTCACTTCATCAAATTTTAAAAAAAGCTCTCTCAGGCTGGGTGTGGTGGCACACGCCTTTAATCCCAGCGCTTGGGATGCAGAGGCAGGCAGATCTTTGTGAGTTCAAAGCCAGCCTGGTCTACATAGTGAGTTCCAGGACAGCTGGGGCTACAGGGAGACCCTGTCTCAAAAAGACCAAAAAAAAAAAAAAAAAGCTCCCTCTCTACAGTATATTTAAGACATATATGGGGCAACAGGGTAATAAGTACTCTATATAAGTTGCACCAAATTCCAGGGGCAAATCATAAAATCTGAATGTTAGAATTTATTCTATCTTCATGATTACAAACATAGGACAGGATAGACAAAAATAAATAAGTACCTTTCCCCCATTTAATCAGGTGTATTTTGCCTTTTTTAATGATATGCAGATTGATTTAATTTCTTAGCTTGAGTTGAAAGTTGGCAACAGCAAGTCTGTAATTTAGATGGTTCTTCCGTTGCCACTATGAACCATGCTGTGAGCGCTGAAGTGGTTTCATGTCAGTTCTCCAAGTTTTCACATTAATCTGATCTTAGAGCTGATAAAAGCTGTCTTCGTCTTTGCTAACCCAGGCCACAGCAATTATAACTGCTACTATATAAAATACAATCATGTTCTCAATGTTGAAACTGTTGTGTCCGAATCCCTTTTCAGAGCATTAGCTCCCTGAGAGGAAAAAGAGGTCCTAACCAACGGCTCTCATGAACAGCGACCCCTGTATAGTATACCTAATATCTTTTGCAGCAGAAATCATGATGTCAGTCTACCCTAATCATCTTGATCAGTTTATCATTATTTACACCCAAGGAATAAAGCTGATTCCAGATCATGTATTGCCATATAGCCCCAAGAAACTGTTCAATTTTAGTGGACTAAGTTCCTGAAAGATGCCAGGGCAAGTGAGTAATCATCCAAAGCACGAGTGACAGTTCATTTTCTGGAAGTGAGAGGACATCAAGAAGAAAAAAGTTCTTTCCTCCTGAATGCATCAAACCCCTCGGCCACCTTCATAGCCTTAGCTGACAAAATCCGGAGTCCTCTCAGTTTCCTGATGCGAGGAATCCATTTCCACATGGAAGGAAAGTTAGGAAGAGTTTCCAGGCTTTTCTTTGCTGTGGCCCATGAACTCCAGTCCTTCAATAGGAATCTCTTTCTCCTTTATTGCTTTCTGAAGGGAAAAGAAAACATGATAAAGGTCTATAGGGAAGCTTGAAGCCCAAACTTTATAACAAGTATAATGGCACAAATGTCAAGCAGAGTGATCTTTCTGGAAAGGCTCACAACCCATGATTCAAATGACAATTTTCAACAAACAAGTGGGCTGGAGAGATGGCTCAGCACTGGCTGCTCTTGCAGAGGACCTGGGTTCAATTCCCAGCACTCACATGGTGGCTAACAACTGTCCATAACTCTAGTTCCAGGGGATCCGACACTCTCTTCTGACGCCTCAGGCATTGTGCAACACAGGGTGCACCAACCTACATACAAGCAACACATAAAAACAATAAAGGCTGATGAAATGGCTCAGTGGTTAAGGGCACTGACTGCTCTTGCAGAGGACCCGGGTTCAGTTCCTAGCACCCACATGGCTGCTAACAACTGTCTGTAACTCCAGTTCCAGGGGAACCTGACACCCTCTTCTGTCATTGCAGTGACATAGGTACACTTACACACATGCAGGCAATATACTCACATACATATAAATAAAATATTTTTAAAAATACTATAAACAAAACAAAAAAATTCAGAAGTACCATAGAAAAGAAAACAGGTGTGTGTGGTCCCACACCTGCCCTTGGGAGGCAGAGGCAGGAGGATCAGGAGTTCCGGTATCTCTCCTTTATCTTGATGTCAGGTAAAGGTTCAAATCTGAATTCCAGGACTTAGTGCTATGTGACCTTGAGTCACCTTCACTATCTTAAGTTGCGAGTAGGGTAAAAATAACTACTTCATGGAACTACATGAAGAGTTTTAGGTTAAATTAATGGAAGTGCACCCATTAGGCTGGAACAAAACCTGATTGGCTGAAATTAGGAACTAGTGGAGCGAAACAGGGCAACGAAGGGGGATTATAACAAAAACAACAGGACCCTCCACAAAGTCGTAACAGTCTAGAAAACAGTAAACACTCCACCCACTCCAAACTGTTAACAGTGAAAAACTGTGTCACCAACAAATAAAACTTCCTACCTCTTAAGTCCTAGTTTTCCTGTGTGTAAAATACAGATAAAAGGCCGGCGAGACGGCTTACCGTGTTAAAGGGGCATGTCGCCAAGGCCAACGACCTGAATTTGATCCCTGGAACCCACAAAAATGTGTACGGAGAGACCCAACTCCCGCAAATTGTTCTCTGGCCTGCACATGCGTTTCGTTTCCACCTCCCCATCGTGCACGAACACATACAATACAGTAAATAAATAATAAATACTTTTATAAAGCTATAGATAACTATGGCTATTTTGCAACTTTGAGGGCACCAAGTAAATGAACCAAAAGACGTTACGGTCCTCCGGAAGGAGTAAAGCACCGCCAGAAGATTGCCTTTTGTCAAGGGAGACTCCGAAGGGAGACCCCGGCAGCGAAGAGGGTAGCGGAGGCCCGGGCTGTGGGGTTCGCCGCCCTGGGTCCCCAGGGGCGCGCGGCTCACCTGGACGCACTGCTGGTAGCGCTTGAAAAGGTCGGTGCACGGGTCCCCGGAGCCGTCACCTTTGAGGAACTTCTCGGCAAACCAACGGTTGAAGCACTGGTCGTACTCACGCTTCATATCGGTGCAAGCCTCCCCGACGCTGTTCATGGCGCTGGCGGTGGCGGTGGCGGCTGAAACGCGCTCTGATGTCATCACTCTCGGGAGCGTCGCTTGGCGTTGCGTCACTGGGCCCTACGGCGGCCGAGAAGCGAAGACATGTGGGCGCGAGTGGTGCGGCTGCGTCTTCACCGCGCGCTGGGCCGGGGCTGCGCTTCCGAAGCGGGTCCACGGGAGGAGGTCGGATGCGGCCGAGCGGCTGGCGAAGCAGGCGGATACCTACAGCAGGCCTTGCCGGAGACCCACGCTGCCCAGCTCGCCACGCAAGGAGGCGGGCGCGTCGCGGCCGATGTGATAGAGCACCTGGAGCGGCTGGCATTGGTGGATTTCGGCAGCCGCGAGGCGGTGGCGCGGCTGGAGAAAGCCATTGCCTTCGCGGACCGGCTCCGCGCCGTGGACACCGACGGGGTGGAGCCCATGGAGTCAGTCCTGGAGGACAGGTAAACTCACGGCTGCAACGCCGAGGTCGTGGAACCTTCGCAGCCGCGCCGGTCCCATCAGTGTCCTGTTTCCGAAGGTCCAGGAGCCTTTGCAAGATTGGGAATCCCTAGTCCATTCACCTTTAGAATCCTCGAGCCCTCCGAATGTCCCTGTTAACAGGAGCAAAATCCGCACTACTTGTTAGTCTTCTTGTTGGAATCCTTGCTTCGGAACTCTTGCCCAGCCGCTGGGATGCACTACTCCATCTGTACCTTCTAGCCTGTACTGGCTTCCATTAACTGCTTCTTCAGAGAGCCATGTTCGGTCCTCCGTTAAGCTTTGCACTTGCTGACCGCTTTTTCTTGAACAGTCTGCCTCCAAGTAGTTGCTTAACATTTTCCCACTTAGCACTCGAATCTCAGAGCCTCTCGTCAGAGAATTCTCTTGATTACTCCAACTTTCCTCACTCCTATCACTCTTAGTTTTCCTAATTTTTGTTTTGCTTAGTTTTTTTGTTTTCCTGATTTAAAAAAAATTATTTTTATTTTATGTGTATGAGTGTATTGCCTGCATGTATGTGAGTGCACCCGTGTCGTGCAATGCTGCAGAGGTCAGAAGAGGTCTTCGAATTCCCCTGGAACTGGCTTTAAGGACGGTTCGTAGCCGCCATGTGGGTGCTGGGACTCGAACCCGGGTCCTCTGCAAGAGGAGTCAGTACTCTTAACCGCTGAGCCATCTCTCCAGCCCCTCCTGATTTTATTTTTAATTAAAGAAAAATTGAGACGGAGTCTTTTAGCTCAAGCTGGCATGGTACTGCCACAGCCCTGAGCAGTGAGCTAACACCTCACCACCACTATGGCTGGCTGCTGTTTTCTTGATACTGCTTTAAGTTTATATGTTATTACCATGTGATTTATTTAATGCTGTTCTTTTAATATTTTATTAGTTTTTAGGTGTATGAGTATATTGCCTGCGTGTATGTAAGGGCACCCATATCGTGCAATGCCCGAGGATCCTCTGGACCTGGAGTTACAGACAGTTGTCTGTAACAAGAGCCAGTATGTGGGTTCTGGAAATCGAACCCAAGTCCTTTTCCAAGAGCAGTCTGTGCTCTTATCTGCCCAATTATCTCTCCAGCCCTGTTTAATGTTACTCTTTTCAAAACTTTAAATATCTGTATTGTCTGACCTAGTGGTTCCCAGTGAAAAAATCTCTGGAAGTGCATCAAGATACTGCACAAGAGGCTAGGAGTAAAGCTCTGAGGTAGAGCACTTTAGATACCCTGGGTTTGATTTCCAGCAATAGAGATATGCAGAACTGCTGTTCTGTTTTGAGACAGGGTCCTTCTAAGTAGCCCTGAACACCTCCTGGAGATCCTCCTGCCTCAACTTCTTGAGTTCTGGGATTACAGTAGTATGACATCACCCTCTGATCCAAACTTTTTTTCTGTGTGCACATTCATGTGAATGAGGGTGTGTGCATGCCATGGCACACGTGGGGGGTAGGGTTAGAGGATAACCTCATCACCTTCCACCTTGAGACAGGGTCTCATCTCTGCTACACAGCAGGCTTGCTGGGCCCCAACCATCTGAGGATTTCCCAGTCTTCAACTCCCATCTCCTGCAGGAGCACTAGAATATAGACAGTCACACTAGAGGTTTTGCATGAGTTCTGGGGATTTGAACTCAGGTTCTCATGCTTCCTGGACCAGTGCTTTTGCCCAATGAGCCTTCTCGCCAGGCTGTTTTATTTAATTACTCTAAATAGTTATTATTTTTATTTTATGTGTATGAGTATATTGCCTGCATGTATGTAAATGTATCTGTTTTGTGCAATGCCCATAGAGGTCAGAAAATGGAATCTGATCCCCTGAAACTGGAGTTATGGATGGTTGTTTGCTGCCACATGGGTGCTGAGAACTAAACCCTGGTCCTCTGCAAGAGCAGCCAGTGCTCTTAACCACTGAGCCATCTCTCCAGCCCCTCTGTCTTTTACTGAAAACTGTTTTTTCTTTTTTTTTTTGGGGGGGGTGGTTGAGACAGGGTCTTAATATGCTGTCCTGGCTAAGCTGGAACTTGTTATGTATACAGGCTGGTCTCAAATTTGCATCAGTCATGGCACGACTCACAGGCCTCCCTCCTGGGTAAATCGATCATGCCCTCTGCGCCTTGACTCCCCCAGCCTCATTCACCGTCCCATCTCCCCCTGCCCATCTCGCTTCCTAGCCTGGGTCCTGTCTCATTCCTTCTCTTGGGGCCCCAGACACCAGGGGAACCACCACTGCTTCCTGATCCTTTGTATCCAGACAAACACAGTTCCTTCTCAGGTCCCCAGTAGCCTTCTGAGCCTGGCCCCACCCTCACCTCCCTCTGCTTCCCTGGTTGCACAACCTGCCAGCCTCTTTCCTGGATGAGGATGGCCTTTCCGCTTCCTGATCCTTTGCATCCAGACCAACCCAGTTCTTCACTGCAGTCCCCAGGACCCCTTGGGGCCTCTTCCTGCCCCCATCTCCCTTTGCATCTCTGTGTGGCATGGCCACCAGCTGCCCTAGACCAACATCCTTCCTGGGCCCTGCTCCCAGGCCAGTCCAACCCTCAAATTCTTGAAGCCAAAATCTTTCCTGGAGGGATGCAGACATTAGGAGAAAGCCTGAGAGCATCTGATCCTCATCTGACTTGGGCCTCTGTGGGAACTCCTGAAGACAAAAGCAATCTGGCCACTGCAGTATAAAATCAAAAGAGAGAACCAGAAGTGTGGGCAAACCAGCTTTTCATGCCCAAAAAATAAACCACAAAGACACATAAAGTATACAAAAAGAAGCAGACCTAAATTTGAAGGCTTGAGTCTCACACAAGAATCAGAAACTACAAAGGACATTCACATGTCAAGATCACAGAGAAAAAACAGTAACATGAAAAACCAAAATAACATATCCCCACCAAATACCAATAGTCCTCTAGAGGA